TTTCATTTGAGTAAAACTATCATCATGTCATACACACACAGAAATGTAAAGGTATTCACGGCAACCCGTCAAAATAAAAGTTCGGTTTAACTTGAGGGCATTGGCAGAAATATATTACTATTGTTGAGTAGAATGTACATAACAGGCTGCTACTACTACTACTAAAATTATTAAAACCTTATTTGTAAGGAATAAGCATACAATATTTCTTCAGTGTTTTAATTGTAATATTAAATTACCTTTATTTTCCAAAAAATACATTTTGTTTAATTATCATTACTTAAAAGATAGATTTAAATACACAACACAGAATTTCTGAGCAAAAAAATCATAAGGCTATTGTAAGAATAAATGAAACTTGTTTTATGCTTTCAAATAATTAGACATGCTAAAACAATAAAACATAAGGTTGGAAAATAAAACATTTCATAGGGCCCTAAACATGTAATATTTGTTAAACTTTTAATAAATTGATGTTAAATTGTTTAAGTTTTTTGATTAGTAATATGCATTGCTAAGGACTTCATTTGGACAACTTTATAGGTGATTTTCTCAATATTTAGATTTTTCTTTTTTTTTTTTTGCACCCTCAAATTCCAGATTTTCAAATAGCTGTATCTTGACCAAATACCGTCCTATCCTTACAAACCATACATCAATAGAAATCGTATTTATTCAGCTTTCAGATGATGTATACATCTCAATAAAAAAAAATTTAAAAAAATGGACCCATATGTTTTGTGGCCCAGGGTCACATATATGCAAATGCAAATACAGTTATTTTCACTCCGACACATTATTAATAAATATTGATGTTAACTGTGAAAGAGTGTTTGTCCATGCTTTCAAGAAGCAATATTATGAATTGGTAGTATGTCCCAAAACGTGCATACCCTTCTGCGAAACACTTAAAAAAAATAATAATAATAAATGTTATATTTTCTCATTTTCAGAATGTAACAGTGTAAAATGAAATGACTTGGACTTCAAAATGTGTTCCAATGTAATCAGTGTAGCAAATCTGTAACAACTATGAGTTTCATTATTTAAAACAGAATAAGCAGATAATGTTCTTGCTGTGGCAGTATATTTCTAAATTTAGGGCAAGTTTTCACACAGTGCTCCTACCAACCCACCAACACCACCACACACACAGTCACAGAGGCTTTCATTTGTCTTTATTTTAACTTTGTGACTGTTCAGAGCGTTGCTCTGTAAGAAAATGAGGAATTTCATACATTTTTCAACATTACAAGCTTCCCCCTGTGCCACTGCTGTAGGGCTGTTTGTGTACATACTGTAATGAAGAAATCCCTTATGGCTAAAGACGACAAGTATTGGCTTAAAAATGATTTTGGGTCCCAAGGCAAGTGATGCTCATCAGATGCATTTTGTAATTTGATCCAGTACCACCACCTGGAACCAGACCAGCATGGTACTTGTCCTCATGGAAGAGTAATGGAGAGAAAATGCTGTGCCTCCTAAAGGGATATGCCTACTACTTTCTACATGCATGCAAATGTTCTTTTTTTTTTTTTTTTTACTTCTGTCTGCGTTCTATAGCAACACATTTTATGTGATTTCAGCTAATGCAAACACCTCAAAGAAAAACACACATCACATTGAAATGAGCTTAGGCCTTATTGTTAAATGATGTTATTAAACTTCATTATCACTTGTTTCTTTGAGTAAATGAATGATTAATGAGATCAGTCTTCTAAATCAGGTCATTAAATGTAGCATCATTGATACTGATAACTAATCGCTTACAGTGTCATTGTGGATTATGTATATTGATTTTGATATGTGATCCATGTTAATGTATTAAACTGAATCATAATTGAATTGAATTTAATAATCTTCAGTTTAGCCCCCCACTCAAGACAATTAAATGTTCCCCTTCAGGAACTCGAGCTGCGTCGAGATTCGCTTTGGGAACGTCCCTGCGTGACCGCGTTCTGAAGCACGTGTAAAATCAGTCCAATGGAGCAGCGAGACGTCACGAGCGGGGTGACGTGAGCGCCAGGAAGTATAAAAGCGCATCCGGCAGAGCGCAAGTTAGCTTCTGCTCTTCAGTAGCGCTCTGTGTATGTGTCAGTCTATTTACTGTTGTCTGTCAGTCCACAAGCATTCAAAATAATATGTCAAAGTCTAAACTAATATCCATGGTGAGCAAACGGCATTACAGACGTCGTGTGCCTCCCTGCCCACGCTATCTGGCAGTGGGGGATACACACGATCTGTGTGTTGTTTGTTTAGGAGCAGAGCATGCACGGTCAGCTTTCGAGTGAGCTGATTGGCATCACTGCGAGTTACTCTCGCTGCGTATGCTCCGCTCTGTGTTTGATGAGAGCGGCCAGGCTCGTGAACCCGCTGGCAGCGGTCCCGCTGTTGCCGAGGCACCCCCTCGCATATGAGGTGTGATTTGTGCAGTAGCCAAAATAAAATATCGTTTGGCCAGCCGAGAATCAGGACGCTCGTCCTAAAAGTAATTAGACGAGCGTTTTCTGAATCCAGATCACAGCCTTCACGACGGGGCCTTCCGTTTTTCCCCGATCTCCATGCTGAGGTGTCAAGATCGTGGGAGAAACCGTACTCATCCCGTATTTACAGCCCCACAGTCTCGAATTATTCAAAGTGGAAACTTTTCGCTTCATGGTGCGGACAGCGACTGCAGGACCTAGTCAACTGCCCAATTGGTACAGTTCTGGAGTTTCTGCAGGAGTATCAAAAATGTTTTAGAATTTTAGTGGCCAAATAATAATAATAATAATAATAATAATAACCAATAAATTCATAATAATAACAAAATAAACTATCAACAACAGTTCTGAAGATTTAAGTTGAAGTAAACTTGACATGAAAATGGAACCACTTTTTACCAGTGAATCAATGTCTGATGGATCAAGTCCCGTCTTATGTATTTATTTCCTGTAAATATAAATACCCTGATTCACTTGGAAATATGTCTTATGGTAAACACTTACAGTACTGTGCTGTCCAAGTCAGAAGAGCTAATGTTGACCTGTTTTTTTTTCTTCTTCTTCTTTGTCCTGCAGTTAGCTACATGGGATTCTGCCCATGGCCTAAATGGAAGTCTAAAGGAGAGCCGCATCGAGAATGGCATGCAAGGGGTTACCGTTAAAGTTGTGACGTTGTTGGTAATACTTACTTTTATCATTGTAACATTTAAAATATTTATGTTTTGTTGGTGTTGATGTGTAAATGTGTGAGTAAATCAATCATTACGTTTTTCACGGTCAGTACTTAAGTACTAGATATCATTCTACTTATCAGAGCACAGAATCTGCAACCTTTAAACTCTGCAGAATTCAATAGAATTGGAACGTCCCTCATTCATAAAGTTCTAAACAGCCCTAAGCTCTTTCATGTTTGCTTACAAATTATTTTGGCTAACATTATTATGCCTACCTTCACAAATAAAAGTATAGCACTGTTTACTGAAATACATATCTCTGGCATGGGTGGGAGAAACATTCCGCTTCTAATGTGCTTATTCCTCATGGTCTAATTGTAATCATTCTCCCAGGCCAGTAAGCATCTACTACAGAAAGGTTCTCCAGGGAGCCATAGGAAGTCTTGAAGCACGTTTTACCTACCATTTAAAATTTGTCTGTTACTTTTGGTAATCAATATTCCTCTTCAAAGGAGGATCCATTTGTGATGGTGGCAGAGAACATCCTCGGACAGCCCAAAAGATATAAAGGGTTCTCAATTGATGTCCTGGATGCCTTGGCCAAGATCCTAGGATTCAAGTACGATATCTATCAGGTAGCAGACAGCAAATATGGCTCTCAGCTACCCAATGGCTCTTGGAATGGCATGATTGGGGAACTCATAAACAAGGCAAGTTCTCTAAACATTATATTTACATGTCCAAAGCCATTAAAAGTTACCCAACTAATACTTGCATGATATTTTCTCAAATTACCCTGCTGAAAAGGTCACCAGAATATATTGTGTTTTAGATTCTTGTGTGCTAGTTTGTTCTGGGGATGGGCATGAGTATTTTAGGAGTTACAGCAATGATCGGTCAAGAAAACACAATAATTGTGTGACATTAACTTTTAATTCTGTGATTGGTTGCAGTGGCATTTTGGCCAGTACCTTGCACTCTAAGAGGTTATTATTTAGGTATGAACTGTAAAGTGCTAAGTGCTTAGATAGGTGTCGTATTCCCATAGGTAGATGGGTATCAGCTGAGAGTCAGCTGATGCGAGCTTGACTAACGTGATCTGCCAGAACTAACGCTACACTTGATTGTTAGAGGGTTCATACAGCTAGATTGAGTTCAACCAAATTAAACAGAAAAAAACAGCAAGAGGTGAATCGCTCAAAGATTTTGGTCTGATGTTGTGTATATCAACCAGCAATTAAATGAAGCTCGGTCATTTAGCAGGGCTTGTACACAGTACAGTACTGTAGCTTTTAAGCTGATGTCATACTTTTTTTTTGTTCATGTCATACTTTTTTTCAGTATTTTTGTTTTGTTTTTCAGTTAAGATATGTAAACATCATTACAAGTTAAATTATCTGAAAATGAAAAGAGATACTATTAAGATACTATGACTTGTTTTTTTAGAAAATATATCTATAATTTCTTATCCCACTGGCAATTTTTATTTATTGATTTTAGCATGGGTGCAGGACAACCCCGTTATAAATATAACCAAATATAATGAGGCTTTGCTTAAAAAAAATGCTAGTTGGGAAATAAAATAAACTTTATTTTAGATGCATTGGACAGTCTTAAAATCTTACACAATTTTGCTTGTTTTAAGGATGTTTAGAAAAACAAGAAAACATACTGATTCGAAAAAAAATAAATTGTGCATTTTTGTAAGGCCCTTATTACCTATAGTGTAAGTCTCTATGATTGTACCATTTTTAATAAATTTTTGTCTTTACAGAGAGCTGATTTGGCAGTGTCTGCCATAACTATAACACCAGAGCGAGAGAACGTAGTGGACTTCAGCAAGCGCTACATGGACTACTCTGTAGGGATCCTACATCGCAAACCCGAGGAAAAGATGAACATTTTTTCCTTGTTTGCCCCTTTTGATTTGGCTGTATGGGCCTGTATCGCAGCTGCCATTCCTGTGGTGGGCGTTCTGATCTTCCTGCTGACACGGATGCAGATGCTCCGCTCCCAGAATCCTCCAGGAGCCCATCACACTTCATCCATGTCTAACTCATTGCATAGTGCTATATGGATTGTCTATGGAGCCTTTGTACAACAAGGTACTTTAATTAATTCCTCTCCCAAGTGTCCATTCAAAGGCACCTTCAGAAACGACTTATCAGTTTAGTATGCTTTTAAGAGCAGCCAGGGGATCAGGTGATGATTTGACTCAGGGCTTAGAAACATGACAAGAATAAAGCTGTTGTCTGATGATATTGGGGTGTCAATACATCACTCCCTCTAAGACATGTAAGCATCTGAACTGCTAATGCAAGCATTCTTTAGCAGCTTAAAACATTTTGTGTTTGCAAATAATCAGAGAATACTTTATCTAAATATGAAAATCCTGTTATCATTTATTCACCCATCCCGTACACGTGGAACACAGAAGGAAATATTTTGTAGAATTTTGTTGTAGAAACTTTTTGTTTCTTGTCTTGTCTTTTCTTTTTCGGTCCAGGTGACAACAAGGCACCATTAAAATATAATTTCAGCAATTCAGTCATTACCACTCTTTGTGTATTTTTAGCATGTTAATTGGTATGACTGTTAATTTATTTAGTCTTGGTGGAATAGATCTGCTACACAAGTTGTTGTTGCTGCTGCTGTTATTCCTGCAGAGCAAGTATGGTGAATTGCTACTACCATACACATAAACGTTTCTGCTGCACAAATAAACATACAAAATGTCCCTCTAACTGATTTAGACAGGTGGAGCTGGGGGAGGAGGAGGGTTTCAGAGTAACTTATAGCATGCTGCAGGACTGGCTTACAGTGAACACTGAACCAGACTATTAAAATATTGAGCAAGCAAGATACAGCCAAAACAAATCTGCTTGCACCATGTAGTATACAATGTAATTGCTAGCAGATTACATGTCAAGGACCAATCAGTGCCAGTCTAGAGTTTCCTGACTTGACTTCAGGTCATTCGATCAATCAATCAATCAAATCAATCAATCAATCAATCAATCAATCAATCAATCAATCAATCAATCAGTCAATCAATCTTCCACCATCGTATACTGTAGCCATATTCTAAACATCTAAACATCCGGTCAGTTCTTCTTCTTCTTCTTCTTCTTTTTCTTCTTCTTCTTCTTCTTCTTTATCTTCTTCTTCTTCTATGATTTATTTTAGCACAAAATGTGTTGCTTAATCAGTATTCATTTAAAAGATACAATCATTCACAAAAAGCACATTTTCATTTAAGTGTGCCTTTAGATCCTATAAAGTTAAGGGTGAGTAAATTGGTGAACTATCCCTTTAAGGTTTAAAAGCAGTTGTAAATAGTGTTTTATGGAGCATGTTAAATTGTAATAGTTGTGATCTACTTTTTTTCATCAGAGAATGCCTATCCTTGTGTCACTGGAGTGGTAAACTGCATATTTGAATTCCAATTTCAAAACCAGCATACATACATAGGGCATACAGACAAGTGTGCTAAAACAGTTTAAAAGTGCCTTTGAATAAGGCAAATATGCTGGTTCTCATCCAAGTGACAAAATTGAATAAATAGCTACCTCAGCAAATAACACGCTAAACCCCCAGCTCTCTCTATTAATGCCTGGCATACTGCCTGCCAACCTTTTTAAACCTAACAGCTAGTTATTAAATCTGGCCTGTATCTATGCCATATTTCGGTAGCATGCCACCATATGAAATTTACAGCAGATTGTACAAAACACAATAAAACTTTTGCAGCGGTTAAAACAGTCACTTGTTCCACTGCTCATATCTTAAAAATTAGGAATTAGCTATGCTTATGGCATGCTAATAATGGTGCCATTTCTGACTTATTCTAATGACTAGGGTTAATAATGTGAAAGTGTGTTTATATTTTATAGATTATGCACATCTGTGATGAAATTACCATATGATAATCTTTTAATTCTCTTTGTTAGATGTCTGCTTGTCTATTTGTTGTGGTATAGGCCTCCATTTTAGGAGTAAAAAAAGCCGGAGTATGTAAAATATTTTATGAAAGAATAAAAAATAAAATAAAAAAAAACTGTTTTGAAAACAAAAGGGGTGATTTCAAATGCATGTATCTTACAAGAAATATAATAGGAATCGAAATCCCTTCTTACATTACATTTATTTATTATTTATTTGCATTTTACAGTACATTTACACAATCTAAAGTATTTTTGTGTTATCTGTCACAGGTGGAGATTCAGTGGTGGGGTCTGTGGCATTGAGGATAGTCATGGGCAGTTGGTGGTTGTTCACACTGATTGTGTGTTCGTCTTACACTGCTAACCTGGCTGCGTTCCTAACTGTGTCCCGCATGGACAACACTATAAGGTAAATTACCATTTCACAAATAGTCTACCACTTGATGCACCATATGGTACAGAGTTGATCTATGTCTATTAAAAGCTTTTCTATCCTGTTTGTCCTCATAATTGGTGCATCCTTATGTTCAGGAAGCTTCGAACATAGTTTGGCCACATGGCAGGCAATATGCAGAAAATTGATGCAGTATTGTACAGTTAAGCATAGGCTTTGAGTGGCAATAGAAGGCAAGCAGGCAACTCAATATATTGGGATTTCACAAGAAATAGTGAAAAATATAAAGATTTTCAAAAATTATATCTATCCAAAATGTAATAAGTACCAATTATTTCAAAGACATAAATGAAAAAAAGCCTCAAAATAAAACTCTTGAGTATATTTCAACTGGTTAATCCTAGAAGTTTGTAGGTATGATGTCTGAGGCAGAGAATAGGATTTCATGATGGCTAGAACTGTGTAAGTTGTCACTAGGCTTTCCGGGACATGTTCCCATTAGAGTGAAGTGAGGTGAACTAGAGATAAATGTATTAGTATGGATGGAAAGAGGCGAAAGAGGGTAAGATTATTACAGTGTGTGTTATTTGCTTGGTATTTTTGCTTGTAATTTTTTTTTATAATGAACCAAGCTAAATTGATGCTGAATTTGAATGCCAGTGAACACCCTACATTTTCATAAATGGAAAACAGCAGAACTGTCTTTTTGAAATTTAACACACTTTGTGCTTTATGGGAAAAAACTAACCCCACATAAATACAATAATTATTTACAATAAAACATTCTTAAATTTTCACTATAATAATTACAGTGTGTTCAGCCCCAAATGTATACTTTTTTTAACTCATTCTGAATTATGATCTGTAGCAAGATCATACATTATCAATGTTTACTCTCATGATTACAGAACAAGTCCTGTACTGATTCAGTCTTTCACATATTTTGTATTGTGACAATTGGATTTATAGCATCAGTTTTATACACTGCAAGGCTTATATCTGTGTTTGGTGATCCAGGGATTGTTTTCTATAGCCACTGAATCGAGTCACATCTTCAGCATAGGTTCCTTGAGTTCAGACAGTTGGCAGAAGTCATTTTCATAAAAGGCTGACATTTAAATAGATATATAGTACATATCTCATTAAATGCTAAAACTCTAAGGATGTGATTGACAAATTAATGTTTTGTAAAATGTTAGATTGATTCCCCCAGCTACCCTCACGCCAGAACTCCTTCACAAATCACATAAATTACATAAGTTGGCTTCAAAATGCTGTGCTCGTTGTCCTCCGTCTTCTGTTTGTATTTCCATATCGTGAAGGTAAGTTCATACAAATGTATGTATGTACCACTTGTTTTAAAACTACTGACATTTTTTATGACATCTGCTTTGGACATTACAGCACACATGATAAATTTCGTCAACTCTACAATAAGTTAATTCACTTGACCAGCAAATTACTCTAATTCTCTACTCTACTCTAATTAAATAAATATTATTATTATTATTATTATTATTGGCCTTACTTATTCAGTGCTAGAATGAGTTTCCGTACTGTGTGCTACCTTTGCTGTGTTGTGCTAGTTTTCGTTTACATCTGTAAATGTTATCTAGCGCTCAAGTATGATAACAGGTATTTACCTAGCTTGTGTGCCTCTGATGTTTGACTGCATTTGATTATGCTGATGTTGAGCAAACTGTGTCACGTCAGAGTGTGAACAGACCTTTGCTCTCAGACAAACATATCAGCATGTTCATTTGCACGAGTTTTGTTGAAAGCCAAATGTTATATAATCAAATGTTACTGAATCATGTTCAGCCTGGTCTCATTGTTTATTATAGGTACAATTTTATATAAAACATAAATATAATCTCTAGGTTTTTTTTTATTTGTGTGTGTGTGTGTGTGTGTGTGTGTGTGTGTAAACAATATTTTAAATTTGTTAATAATTAAGTATTATTATTTAATTATTTAATTAATTAATTAATTAATTAATTAATTAATTAATTCAATCATTCATTCATTCATTCAGTCCACACTCATTTTTCACCCCATCCCTGTTTGCTGTGGCATCTCCTTGTTTCACTGAATATCTAGATTTTTGTCCCACTTGTCCTCCTTATTCTGCCTCGCTATTGGCAGTACCAAAGGTGGGATCAATTAAAAGGATAGTTCACTCGGAAACATTTTGTCTTTACGCATATAATGCTGACCTGTGCTGTTATAGTAATCAGATGTACTGTCTATTTTTTTCAGTAATTACACATACTTTTCTGTAGTTATATAAAATTATATTTTAGTTTTGATAAAATGAGTGTACTGCTTTCCATTTGGTTGAAGGCCATGTGAGTGCTGAGTGAGCAGATTCTGATGGATCGCATGAACCTTTATGAACATGCAGAGGCAGAGAATGTTTTGAGCACAATTTCACCTGTGTCCTCTCTTTCAAGTAGCATTAGGAAGGCTATGATTATCTCTCTCTCTCTCTCTCTCTCTCTCTCTCTCTCTCATTGAAACAGCCGAATGAACAAATTCCATTCAGTGAATCAAACTTCCCAGTGCTACTTGTTGTAGATGACATACTAGAGGAGAGCCATCAATACACTTGCTCGTCTGTGCTCATCTTCTGCACAAGCTTGATGCACTCTGCATGTTCCCACAGTCCAATACTGTCACTAGGCAACCCTCTACGCACACCTTGGCAATATAATCGCTATTGGCTAGTAAATTTTTTTGTTTACTCGCCAGACTGATATACTATTTTACACACACACACACACACACACACACTTTTACACAAACACACATACACACACGTTTACTTAGCTATCTAAATGGGGACATTGCATAGATTGTTTTTATATACAGATACACTTTTTAACCTAAACCCACCCCTAGCCCTCACAGAAAGCTTTCTGCATTTTTACAATTTCGAAAGTAAAAAAAAAAAACTTTGTTTATTTTAACAGTTTTACAAATGAGGACATCCACAAATTGAGGTTTTTGCCGATTTTGTCAGGCTTTGCTCACTTTGTCGGGCTTTGCTCACTTTTGGGTACAAATTTGTCCCCAAAATATGGTTAAGTAGGTACACACACACACACGATTCCACCCAATCAGCTTATCTTTGTAAAATGGAACAGCTTCTTAAATAACTGAATGTGCACGCTTAACTTCAGCCAATCAAGCATTATATTATGATATGATAATTAAGCACTATTTAATGATGGAACTAGTGAGTAGAACTCAAACTCGGTAACCATGTATGAATGCATATTTGTCATTTTAACTGAACTTAGGACTGGTGGTATGTAGCGCGTCGATTCAGCATGGTATGCAAGACTCTCTCTCTCTCTCTTTGCATGTGTGAGAAACACAGCCCTATCAGTAAAGCGACGGCGAGTCGAGCGCCTTCACGCTAGTTTATGGTACGTCAAATACAGGTGCGCTGCGTGCTACATACTGCGCATCCATTGAGTACATAACATAATCCATTGAGCGCATCCAAATAGTACAGATCGCTTGACGGAGAGCGAAACTCTCAAGCGCTCAGTCAGCATGTTTATCGAGTGAAAATCTGTGTTGAACGCCTCCCACACACATACTGGCGTGTAAAATCTAAGAATTTATTAGCCAATGGCTAATGTTAGACATTATTTAGTCGCCCAGAGTAAGATTTGCTAGGAAAGGTATTGTAGGGGATGAGAAAAGTGCAAAAATAAATATTACAAAATATGGCAGTAAAAATGTACAAATCACAAATTTGTATAAAAGTGACACTGTACAACAGTGACACCAGCAGTAAAACAATAGGAGGCAATGTCTCTTATGCCTTTCCTGAGCCTATTGAGTTTTAACAGACCTCCTAAAGCAGGGATGGGCAAACTCTGTCCTGCAGGGCCACTGTCCTGTAGAATTTTGCTGCAGTCCTGATAAAACTCACCTGCCTGTAGCCTTCCAGTAATTAAGAATGAATGTAGATAAGTCACATGAGAGGAGGCAATGCCTGTGCACTATGACTGGCCTGTTAACCTGTTCACACATTAATTCCAGTTCTTTTTTCTCTGTGTGTGTGTGTGTGTGTGTGTGTGTGTGTGTGTGTCACATCTGAATATTTTATAGGATATATGATACGGGTAATAATAGTTACTAATTAAAAAGTAAACAACTCACCTATTTAGACATCACATTCAAACTTTAAATTGCCTAAACATGATCTATGTAAAATTAAAGGTGCATCTCCATGTCTGTGATTACCGAACTCTGATGACTAATGATCCAAAAGTAAGCTAAATAAGAAAATATTTCATGTACCTTACATCAGGTAACAAATAGTGCAGTGCCTTGTGAAAGTATTCATACCCCTTCGTTTATTTCATGTTTTGTTATGTTGTAGCCTTATGTTAAACTGCTTTAAATTATTTTTTTTCCACAACAATCTACACTCGATACACCATAATTGTCAAGCAAACAAACAGGTTTTTAACATCTTTGCAAATTTATTAAAAATAAAAAACTAAAATCTATCTGGGACAGTTGAAATTTAGCTCAGGAGCATTCATTTTGCTTGTAGATACTACTACACTTCAAGTGAAGTTAACCTGTGGCAAATTCAATAATGACAAAGCAATAACAGAACTGTCATAACTTCGTAAATTTATTAGAAATAAAAAACTGAAATAAGTACATTGCATAAGTATTCTCAGTACTTAGCTGAAGCACCTTTACAGCCTCAAGTCTTTTTGGGTATGATGCGACAAGCTTTGCACATCTGCATTTGGCAATTATCTGCCATTCTTCTCCTCACCTCTTTACCTCTCAAGCTCTGTCAGGTTGGATGGGGGCAGACACATATTTTCAGGTTTCACCAGAAAGATTTGATTGGGTTCAAGCCCAGGCTCTGGCTGGGCCACTCAAGGACATTCACAGAGTTGTCTATAAGCCACTCTTGCTGTGTGCTTAGGGTCATTGTCCTGTTGGAAGGTGAAACTTCTGCTCAGTCTGAGGTTCTG